GCGCAGAACACCACGTGTTCGGTGTGCCTGTAGTAGTGCCTCTCCTTCCGCCTCTGTGCCTCCCTCGCAGCCCAGCCTGGGGGTTTGCGGGCTGTGGGGTCCCGGTTCTGTAGCACAGGGTCGGTGATAGTCCTGTCTGTGATCCAGGTCTCTCCACTGTCTGGGTCACGCACGATCACATCGGCCTTCTTCGGGTCATCCGGTGGTGAGTACATTGCATTCTCCAGGTATACCACCAGCTGCGCCTCCCTCGCCATTTTTGCCACGGCAAAGGCCAATTGGTTGTGTGTGCGCGTTCTGTCCGGGCCTGTGCTGCAGCGGAGTAGGTGGTTGGGTAGGCTGCAGTCGGCCACGAGCTCTCCACACTCGCACACGGTAGGTACGTTCTGTCGGATGCCCATGCGGAAGGCCAGGGCTGTTCGGAATTGCCCTGGTGAGAAGCAGAGGTCTGGGGTCAGGGGTAGGGCTTGCAGCCATGCTCCCGCTCCCTCGCCTCTCAGGCTGACGAGGCGGAGCGTGTGGCCCATCTCGGGGGCTGACCTGATTGAGCGTGATTCCTCTGTCAGGGTGTCGGCCTTTGCCGCGTGCACTTCCTGAGAGAGGGCCCGCTGCAGCTGGTCTTGGGACGGGGTTTCTTGCTCCTCACGGAGGTATTGCAGCGCCAGCGGCGGCAGTCGTCCCTCCATGTCTTGGATGGTGACTGAGTGTGCCGCAGACGGCTGCAGGGCGTTGCTGTTGCTCCCTAGCGCCGCGGTTGCTGGCAGGTCGAGTGAGCAGAGCAGGCGTAGTGCCTCTGTCGTTGAGGCCAGGTAGGCTGGTGCTGCTTCTGTTGTGGGATCCGTGAGGCCCAGTCCACCTAGGGCCACTGGGAGGGTTGCTTGGCGGATGAGAAAATTGAACTCGGCTTCGCGGCGGGGTGGTTGGATGCTGGCGGCAGTCAGGGCGGTGTTGAGCAGTTCGGCGCACCACGCGTGCCATTTCGAGAGGGGAAGGACATCCGCTGGGGTGGTGCGCAGCAAGTAGCCGATTCTGCGGCTGATGCAGCGGGACAGGAGCAGGAGGGCATGCTGTGGATGGATGGATGCTAGGGAGCCCAGGGGTGCCGCCGCGTCGGTCAGAGTACTGCGGACCAGGTCAGCGCAAAAGCGCTGTGACCCCACGGGACTTCCCAACACCCGTACCCCCTCGTGGGTGAGTGGGAGGCCCTCGGGGAGCTCGTCACCCTCAAGCGGCGTCGTGGACCACGCCGACGATTTTCTGAGGTTGCAGGTGAGGCCATCCTGTGCGAGCAGTGGCTTCAGCAACTTAAGCGCGCCGAGCGTTGCTGTCGCCGGTCCGATCATGGTGATGTCATCTGTGTATGCTAGGATCGTGACTTCTGGGTGCTCTGCTGCTGTGCGTCTGAGGTGCTGCTGGATTGATGCCGCGAACAGCAGGGGTCCGAGGGGGTCCCCCTGCCTCACCCCCCTTCCGCTGGTAAGTGCCGTCGTGCTCAAGCGGAGATCGGTCAGCAGCTGAGAAGGCGTTGCGTAGAAGGAGCGGGTGAAAGGTATGAGCGGTGCTAGCGGGGTGTTGGCGAGTGCGTTGAAGAACGCTTTCCTCTCTACAGAGTTGAAAGCGTTTTCAATGTCGAGTTGGAGGACTAGGCTGGAAGGTTGTGAAGTGGTGAGGTCTCTGACTGCATGTATAACGAACTCAGCTCCGCCTGGGACTGCCACACCGAATTGTTGGGGTAAGAAAAATCGCCTTGTTTCTCCTTGCAGTTCCGAGAGTGCCACCTTTGCTGCCAACCGGAGTAGGGATTCCCCTATTGCGATAGGGCGTACACCCCCCCCCCTGGTTTCGCAAAGGCGATGAGGCGGGATGGCGAGAGTAGTGCTGCAACCTCGGTGGAAAGATTCGTGGAGAGAAGATGTGTTACGGCGGAGTGTAGGTGCCCCAGCACTTCGATGTTGCTTAGGGCTGGGTCGCGGTAGTGTTCAAATGTTGACCCGGATGGACCAGCCCCAACTCCGTTGGGGCAATCCCCAAGGACGTCTGAGAAACTTTCCGCGGTGCACGAAAATTGCGTGGGTGTTGTGTAGGTGTGGACCCAGTCGGGCAGCTCAACTTGGGGTTGGGGATGTTTCAATTCCAACTGCTGCAATGTTGCGATCGTCGCAGGGGCCGCTGGCGAGGGTGAAAGGGCTGCCAACGCTTTTCGCAAGTTACCCCGTTTCACCAACCCCTCCACACGTGAGCATATTCCCAGGGGGTCGTTTTGGTGCTGAGGTGGCTCAGCTTGGTGCAGGGACCCCACGTAGTCACTGTAGAGCTGGTTCCAGTGGCCACATTTGAATAGGTGCATCTGCTCTCGCAGCACCTTCCACTTAGAGCTGGACCTCCTGCTAAGTCGTAAGGTGAGACGTGGCAGGAACATGAGGACCCGCCACGCTCCCGTGCAGTTGGGCAGTTTGGAGATCCGTAAGAGGGCGGCCAGCATACAGGTGGAGTAGTCGCTTAGTATCTGCGGCGGCAGGCGGCGGACGATAGGCAGGTGGGTGGTTGACGTTAGGGTTGAAGAGTCCCAGCTCGTCGCGATCTCAAAGAGATCCTCCCTCGATGCCAGTTGGGACGCTGACAGGGCTTGGTCCGGAGGGGGTTGGGGTCTGCGGTTCTGTCGGCGTCTAGAATCCCTCTCCTGCTGCTGCGCCTGATCCTCCCCCGCTTCCGCGAGAGGTGAGTCGAGGTTGTCGGGTTGCCTCAGATCTGACGGTACATATTCGTCGCCGCTCCCTTCTGCGTTTGTATCACCGATTCTCGTTGCTTGCACTGTCGTTCCCCCTCTCCCCCCACGTCTAGCAAACGACTGGCGCGTGACTCGTTCCGCCGGCTCCCCCAACCAGATTGGGCTCGGTAGTTGGCGCGGATTCCCCCTCACCGCTTGGCCTGCACTCCGCTGTCCTCCGCGCGCTCCTCGACCCCCGCCTCTCCCCCGCGTGCTTCCCCGTCCGCTCCTCGGAGTGGCTGCCACAGGTGCCGCCTGTTGCGCCTGGGAGATCGGCGTCGTCGGCTCCTCTTGTGGCAGTGGAGCGCCCTGAGCGCTCGCTGATGGATTTCCTCGGCGCTCTGGGCCGCGACTGCACCGCGGAGAGCGATCCCGCTCCTCGTCCGCTTCCTCCTGCACGCCCTGCCGCGAGCGTACCTGTTGCTCCACCGGCGTCCGCTGATCAGATCCGCCGCCGCTTCGAGGACCAGCAGCGCGAGCTGGCTCGGCGCGCGGGCAGGTCCTTGTCACCGCCGGAGCCCCTGCGCTCGGGGGCCGTCTTGCGCTCCGGCGCAGAGGCTGTGGCGCACCAGGAGCGTTCGCCTCGCCGTTGCTCATCGGCAGCTCGCGACGATAAGCGGGAGAGCCGCCGCGATGATCGTCACGGTGCGGCCCGTTCTCCGCTGTCTCCTCGTTCGCCTCGTCGCGTGGCGTCGCGAAGCCGATCCCGTGACCGCCGTTCGCATCGTCATCGTTCGCCCCCTCCTCGTTCATCTCGCCAGCGGTCGCCTGCCCGCCAGACGTCTGGGCGTCGGCCCCCAGCTCCGCGTTCGCCCCCTCCTGCAAAGCGCCAACGGCTCTACTCCCCTCGTCGCGGGGACCGTTTTCCTGGCCGCCAGCGTCAGCAGGGCCCATCTCGCCCGCAGTCGTCTGTGCGCTCGAGCGCAAGTGGGCGTGCGCGTCGTGGGCGACGGGGAGGTGACAGTCGCGGCGGAAAAGCGGGTCCAGCGCCGTCCGCAATGGAGCGCCGTCTTCTGGATAGGCTTGATGACGTGGAGAAGGAGCTTCGTCGCTCGCGTGCTGGGTTGGCGTCACCATCAGCTTCTCGCACTGCTCCCGTCGTCCCTCTCTCCGCGCTCCTGCCCCACAATCCCTTTGGATCCCCGGCGCGTTCAGAGCGGCCGCTGCCTGCGGGGATGGGCTTCGTAGGTGCTGGTGGCGGGCCGCCGTGGGCTCAGTTTGCTCCGCCGCGTCCTCTTCCTGCTCCGCGTGATCTCGCCGTGTCGTCTCACCGTGCCCGCGCGTATGCGTTGCTTCTGCCGATGAAGGAAGTTCCCACGGCGACCCTGGCCCGCCTATGGTCGCTGGCGGCGTCCCTGCAGAGCCTTGAGCGGATTCTCCAGGAGTCACTTGACTCCATGCCGGTGAGCCCTCCGAGCAGGTTCTCTCAGAAACCGCGAGCAGATTGTCATGCGGCGGCGTCAGCGCTATTCGCGCTCGTAACGCCACTGCAGGTAGCGCCCTCGCCGGGAGCAACCTCGGCCAGCCAGCTGGCTGACTCGGCCCTGGCTCTGAGGACGCTTGTAGCAGGCTCTGGTACTCCTGTTGACGTTGTAGGCGCCACCGTGTCTGTGGTCCGCCAGTTGTGGTTGAACACGAGCGGAATGCTCGCTGCGGTAGAGGCGGACCGCATGTAGGCGCTCCCCCCTTGCGCGTATAGACCCGTTCCATCCTCTACTTGCTAAGTGTCTATGCTTGCTTTGTTTGTATCGGTTGCCTAAGCTACTACTGCTTGTTGTTTCCCCTTGCCATCCCTAACGCGCGGCCGAAGGCCGCCGGCGCGAAGCGCCAAAATTTTCAGCACTAACTGAAAGAATGGGAGATGGAGAGGCCGCCGTGGCCTTAAGTAGTCATGGCAGAGGGCAGAAAGCAGAGGGCAGAGGGTAGAAGGGGAGAGGCTAATCCTCTCTCTCTCTCTCTCTCTCTCTCTCTCTCTCTCTCTCTCTCTCTCTCTCTCTCTCTCTCTCTCTTCTCTCTCTCTCTCTCTCTCTCTCTCTCTCTCTCTCTCTCTTTTCTCTCTCTCTCTCTCTCTCTCTCTCTCTCTCTCTCTCTCTCTCTCTCTCTCTCTCTCTCTCTCTCTCTCGCGCACTCATTCGGGGTACACGTGATCCCGCATGTAAACTGCTAATCAAATACTTATTGCACTTTCGTTCTTACATACAAACCCGGACGACACACACTCTCGCGCGCTCACCCGGGTTACACGTGATCCCGCATATAAACTGCTCCAGTATGAACTGCCCCTCGGTATAAGGCCCCGTGACGTCGCACGACTGGTAGTCGGAGCCCAGGGTGGAGTCCGCCAGCTGCAGCACCAAGCTGGGCGCTACGGCCAGGAGAAGCGCCGTCGCGTTGACCGCGTTCTGGGGTGACATATAAGGGGGACAGGGGGGTGAGAGTGGTGACGTCGCACGACTGATATAGTTGGAGCCCAGCGTGGAGTCCGCCAGCTGTAGCCAGCAGAAGCGCCGTGGCATTGACCGCGTTCTGCGGGTGACATATAAGGGGGACAGGGGGGTCAGAGGGGTGACGTCACACGACTGATATAGTCGGAGCCCAGCGTGGAATCCGCCAGCTGTAGCACGAGGCTCGGCGCTACAGCCAGCAGAAGCGCCGTGGCATTGACCGCGTTCTGCAGGGAAACGATCGGGGGAAGTGGAGACGGGGGAAAGGCAGGAGGGGGTAAGCGTGGAGTCCGCCAGCTGTGGAACGAGGCCGGCGCTACAGCCAGCAGCAGCGCCGTCGCGTTCACCGCGTTCTGCGGGGTTGCGGGGAAAGGGGGAGAGTGCGGGGACAAAAAGGGGGGTGAGTTGGTGAGAGTGGAGTCCGCCAACTGTAGCACGAGGCTCGGCGCTACAGCCAAGAGAAGAGCCGTCGCGTTCACGGCGTTCTGCGGGGAAAGATTGGAGGGACGGGGAAGAGGGGAAGGAGGCGCGGATGGGGGGAGGGAAAAAGGGGGATAGGGGATGAGGATGGAAAATCGCAAGCTGTAGCGCGAAGCGGCGGCGATACAGCCAGGAGCAGGTGCGGGGCGTTCATTACATCGAAAACGAATGGAAAGGGGGACGGGGTTGAGTAACACAATGCCGCCAGCTGTAGCGCGAGGCGGTCGCGCTACAGCCCGGGGACGCGCCGTCGGGTTAACCACCGCGTTCTACGGAGGGAGTATGGGGGGTTGATGGGAGAATACGGAACAGTCGGCATAGTACGAGGCTGAAGCGCTAGGGTGTCGCGAGGAACGATACTGACTACTACAACTTGGGAGATTACGATAGTGGGAGTTTCTCGACGTCTTTAAACTGGGAGTTATGATAGTGGGAGATGAATGTAGTACTTTGGAGACTACCGAGACGATCTTTGAGGCGCCTCGAAAAGCGAACACTTCGGTACGTTGAGATGAAAATGTAAACAAAAATAACGCATCGTACGTGATTCGACACGGTAATCGATCTTTGAGGCGCCTCAAAAAACGAATACTTCGGGCATTATGATGGTGGCGTGTATGAGATGATAATGCCTTAGAGACTAGCTACCATCTTGTACGTGATACGGCATGGTAATCGCTTTAGACTTTTCTCCTGATTGTGTCGACTTCACGGCCACCTGCTGTAGCGAGAAGCCGGCCTATCTGCTGTAGCGAAATGACGGCCTACCTGCTGAGGCGAAAATATGGCCTACCTGCTGTAGCGAAATGACGAAGTCCTCGCACGAGCTACAGCACGTGTACTGGGCGGCAGACAGGCACCGAATGGGCGGCACTGTCGGCTTCACGGGCCGTGCGCCCGTCCGCGGGCAGATCGGGAACGCCGCAGCCGCTGGCGCTGCCCCCGCGGCGAGTCCCGTCACGGCGAGTCCTGCTGCATATTCCTCCGGTGCGGACGACGGTGCTAGCGCCGCATTTGCGGCATTGAAAGGTGTTAAAACCAACAAGCTGAGGGTTGCATAAGTTAAGGCTAAGAAGGCGATTCGAGCCATTAGAGAGGCCTAGTCTGGTCGCCGAGAGTACCAAAACCGACGAGACGGGACCGTGAGCGCCGCAAGATATGTTTTATTTCTAGCTTTCTTTTAGCCCTCTTTCCTGGGAACGCAATCGACGAGAACGCCTATTACGATTTGGTTCAAGAAAGCGCAGTCCGTTGGTACTGATGATCATAAAACGCTACAAATGCGCATTTCCTTAGCCTACTAGGTGTGCGCGTCTTGTAAAGCCTCTTGCGCGAACAGTGACACCTTCGACTTGAAGAAGCCGAGAATGCTTTGGACTGAGCTATGAATGCACTCCACTACTGAACGAGTACAGGATCAGGAACAGAGGCCGTGTATGCACAGCCACGAAGAGAGTGCTGTCGATGCGCTGTCAGCAACAGAGGCGCCTCGCTGGACACGACGACAGAGAAGTGAGGAACAAAAACAGAACTGCAAGCTTGGCTGTGCCGTGCTCGAGTCTCGTCTCTCTGCTGCTTCCTGTGTCTGCCGCTGCTGTGGAGTGGGCACCAATCTTGGTCCTAGTGAGAAAAGGACCATTTCGGATTCTAGAACTGTGTTACTCTTCCCAAGCTTCGGCTTTAGGTTTGGCCTAGGACTGTCAGGCACTTGGAATGATGGGGATTGGCTGGTTGTATCACGGGGGGCGGATGTCGGGGGTAGTTGATGGTTTGTGAGCAGTTTCCTAGGGTAGTCTCAGGTACGAATTTGCACGAAATGTTAAATATCAAAACTGATGCATGACATGGCCGCTAGGAAGTGCCACTTTTTACCTGGCGGGGAAACATCGGTCGTATTCGGTTCGGACGGACCAAGTTGCTTCGCCGTTTGGTCGAGCCGCGCACGAATCAAAGCTCCTCCACGTTCGGTTCGGGACGGCGGAGGAACGGCTCGATGGATTTCTGTTACCCGTACGAAGAGTCGTACGCGCTCGCAAATGTCGCGGGAAAAGGGTGGCAAAGTCTGGGCCTACAGCAAACAGCAATTGCCCATCACTGCTGTTATCTAGCTTTATATTTAGCACTTGTGAGCACCACATTCCTAAAATACACCATAAAAGTAAACGGGTTATTGACATACCGGTACACATATACAAGGGAGCAAGCGCCCTACAGGGTTTCAAGATATTTTCAAGATTATGCGTCCCCTCCGAATATTAAGGGGGAGTAATTAGGCACCCACATCCGCTTCTCTACTTCCTTGTGCAATTGTGCCTGAAAACGACAAGGATGGCAAGCCATACAATTCATTCACATTGTGCAACAATTTGAGAAGTAAAACATGTATATGGCAAGGCAATAATGTGGCACTAGGCACAATATTTCGCACAACACTAACTCAGTACCTTGGACATGGAAAGAAGTTGGTCGGCGCGCAAGTTGGAAATGCCGTCCGCTAGATCGTCGTCCGCCGCCCGCCTGGCCACCGCCACCGCCACATGGGATGTGATGTCACGGATGTGGCTCATGCATGGGTACAGCATGCCCCTGTGCACCTGGTCATCTGTCATGTACTCTGCTAGCCTGGTTGGGGTGAGGGACGGGGATAGAGGGAGAGTGGATATAGAGGGATGGAGTCGTGAATTAACCATGGGATGCGATGTCATAGATTGCACTCATGCATGGGTACAGCATGCCCCTGTGCACCTGGTCATCTGTCATGTACTCGGCTAGCTTTTTGTCATGCACATGACATGCCATGCACTCTGCTAGTCCCATCCAAATGCTCTTTACCCCAGCTATCGGCTAGCGAAACTGGCCCCGGATTTACCATGTGTGATGCACCATGCTATGTGTGATGCACCATGCTATGTGTGATGCACCATGCTATGTGTGATGCACCATGCTATGTGTGATGCACCATGCTATGTGTGATGCACCATGCTATGTGCGATGCACCATGCTATGTGCGATGCACCATGCTATGTGCAGTGCACCATGCTATGTGCGATGCACCATGCTATGTGCGATGCACCATGCTATGTGCGATGCACCATGCTATGTGCGATGCACCATGCTATGTGCGATGCACCATGCTATGTGCGATGCACCATGCTATGTGCGATGCACCATGCTATGTGCGATGCACCATGCTATGTGCGATGCACCATGCTATGTGCGATGCACCATGCTATGTGCGATGCACCATGCTATGTGCGATGCACCATGCTATGTGCGATGCACCATGCTATGTGCGATGCACCATGCTATGTGCGATGCACCATGCTATGTGCGATGCACCATGCTATGTGCGATGCACCATGCTATGTGCGATGCACCATGCTATGTGCGATGCACCATGCTATGTGCGATGCACCATGCTATGTGCGATGCACCATGCTATGTGGGATGCACCATGCTATGTGCGATGCACCATGCTATGTGCGATGCACCATGCTATGTGCGATGCACTATGCTATGTGCGAAGCACCATGCTATGTGCGAAGCACCATGCTATGTGCGAAGCACCATGCTATGTGCGATGCACCATGCTATGTGCGATGCACCATGCTATGTGCGATGCACCATGCTATGTGCGATGCACCATGCTATGTGTGATGCACCATGCTATGTGGGATGCACCATGCTATGTGTGATGCACCATGCTATGTGCGGTGCACCATGCTATGTGCGGTGCACCATGCTATGTGCGATGCACCATGCTATGTGTGATGCACCATGCTATGTGCGATGCACCATGCTATGTGTGATGCACCATGCTATGTGTGATGCACCATGCTATGTGTGATGCACCATGCTATGTGCGATGCACCATGCTATGTGCGATGCACCATGCTATGTGCGATGCACCATGCTATGTGTGATGCACCATGCTATGTGCGATGCACCATGCTATGTGTGATGCACCATGCTATGTGTGATGCACCATGCTATGTGTGATGCACCATGCTATGTGTGATGCACCATGCTATGTGTGATGCACCATGCTATGTGTGATGCACCATGCTATGTGTGATGCACCATGCTATGTGTGATGCACCATGCTATGTGCGATGCACCATGCTATGTGCGATGCACCATGCTATGTGCGATGCACCATGCTATGTGCGATGCACCATGCTATGTGCGATGCACCATGCTATGTGCGATGCACCATGCTATGTGCGATGCACCATGCTATGTGCGATGCACCATGCTATGTGCGATGCACCATGCTATGTGCGATGCACCATGGTATGTGCGATGCACCATGCTATGTGCGATGCACCATGCTATGTGCGATGCACCATGCTATGTGGGATGCACCATGCTATGTGCGATGCACCATGCTATGTGCGATGCACCATGCTATGTGCGATGCACCATGCTATGTGCGAAGCACCATGCTATGTGCGAAGCACCATGCTATGTGCGAAGCACCATGCTATGTGCGATGCACCATGGTATGTGCGATGCACCATGCTATGTGCGATGCACCATGCTATGTGCGATGCACCATGCTATGTGCGATGCACCATGCTATGTGTGATGCACCATGCTATGTGGGATGCACCATGCTATGTGTGATGCACCATGCTATGTGCGGTGCACCATGCTATGTGCGGTGCACCATGCTATGTGCGATGCACCATGCTATGTGCAATGCACCATGCTATGTGCGATGCACCATGCTATGTGTGATGCACCATGCTATGTGTGATGCACCATGCTATGTGTGATGCACCATGCTATGTGCGATGCACCATGCTATGTGCGATGCACCATGCTATGTGCGATGCACCATGCTATGTGCGATGCACCATGCTATGTGCGATGCACCATGCTATGTGTGATGCACCATGCTATGTGTGATGCACCATGCTATGTGTGATGCACCATGCTATGTGTGATGCACCATGCTATGTGTGATGCACCATGCTATGTGTGATGCACCATGCTATGTGTGATGCACCATGCTATGTGTGATGCACCATGCTATGTGTGATGCACCATGCTATGTGCGATGCACCATGCTATGTGCGATGCACCATGCTATGTGCGATGCACCATGCTATGTGTGATGCACCATGCTATGTGTGATGCACCATGCTATGTGTGATGCACTCAGCACTCACTGGTGCGCTGCAGACTGCAGCGTGCCGTTTGAAACCAACCAATCTGATTTACAACAGACCTGCCATGCACTCTCCCTGCCCCCCGCCTCCCTTGCAGCCAGAACTCACCATACGCCGTGTACTTATCAACTCACTGGTGTGCCGCAGCCTGCAGCATGGCGTCTGAAATCACTCAAACCGCACCACTCTTCATGCCATGCCATGCCATGCCATACCATGCCATACCATGCCATGCTATGCCATGTAATCAGCACTCACTGGTGTGCTGCAGCCTGCAGCATGGCGTCTGAAATCATGCGAGCGCCTGAGAGGAGCGACCCAGACACAATGCTGATGGTGAGAGGGGCGGACGGAGGGGCCCAAGGCGGTGCGGGGAAGGCTTTGAGTCCACTCAAAAGCGGAGGGGCCGATGGCAAGTTTTGAGTCGACTCAAAACTCGACTCAGGACGGAGGGGCCGAAGGCGGAGCGGGGAAGGGAGGTCACAAAATCAAATTTTAACGAGGCGAGTGTCATAAGGTTGAGATTTATGAGGCGTTGGAAAAACAATATTGAGACGAGTGTTCATAAGCTCACCCTCACGTCCATATGAGGTTGTCATAAGGTCGAAATCCAACGGCGGAAATTCATTCATGGAGTCAAGTAAACCAAAGTCAATGAATGTCAGCCACCCGTCCGTCACCCATGCCATCACGTACACCCTCACGCATCCCATTACCCATGAGTCATCCCATGCCATCACCTACACCCTCACGCATGCCATTACCCATGTGTCATCCCATGCCATCACGTACACCCTCACGCATGCCATTACCCATGTGTCATCCCATGCCATCACTAACACCCTCACGCATGCCATTACCCATGAGTCATCCCATGCCATCGCTTACACCCTCACGCATGCCATTACCCATGTGTCACCCCATGCCATCACTTACACCCTCACGCATGCCATTACCCATGTGTCATCCCATGCCATCACGTACACCCTCACGCATGCCATTACCCATGTGTCATCTCATGCCATCACTTACACCCTCACGCATGCCATTACCCATGTGTCACCCCATGCCATTCTGCATGCCAACCCGGCCTACCCTGGCGACAGAAACACGTTGTTGGCTTGGCTCGTGTGCCCCACCTTGCCGTTTGCTGAGAAAGGAAGGGAAGGGCGGAGGGCGGGAGGAGGGTGCGGGTGCGAGCAGAGAAGGTTGAAGAGGGGGGTAGATTTGCCTGCCTGGAAGACATCCGATGCCCAAACCAGCCTATCCTAGAGACAGGAACACGTTGGTGGCTTGACTTTTGAGTCGACTCAAAAGTCATAAATTTGCCTGCCTGGAAGACATCCGATGCCCAAACCAGCCTATCCTAGAGACAGGAACACGTTGGTGACTTGACTTTTGAGTCGACTCAAAAGTCATAAATTTGCCTGCCTGGAAGACATCCGATGCCCAAACCAGCCTATCCTAGAGACAGGAACACGTTGGTGGCTTGACTTTTGAGTCGACTCAAAAGTCATAAATTTGCCTGCCTGGAAGACATCCGATGCCCAAACCAGCCTATCCTAGAGACAGGAACACGTTGGTGGCTTGACTTTTGAGTCGACTCAAAAGTCATAAATTTGCCTGCCTGGAAGACATCCGATGCCCAAACCAGCCTATCCTAGAGACAGGAACACGTTGGTGGCTTGGCTCGTGTGGAGGGAGAGGATAGAAGGGGCATACCAGAGGGGCATACCAGAGGGGCATACCAGAGGGGCATACCAGAGGGGCATACCAGAGGGGCATACCAGAGGGGCATACCAGAGGGGCATACCAGAGGGGCATACCAGAGGGGCATACCAGAGGGGCATACCAGAGGGGCATACCAGAGGGGCATACCAGAGGGGCATACCAGAGGGGCATACCAGAGGGGCATACCAGAGGGGCATACCAGAGGGGCATACCAGAGGGGCATACCAGAGGGGCATACCAGAGGGGCATACCAGAGGGGCATACCAGAGGGGCATACCAGAGGGGCATACCAGAGGGGCATACCAGAGGGGCATACCAGAGGGGCATACCAGAGGGGCATACCAGAGGGGCATACCAGAGGGGCATACCAGAGGGGCATACCAGAGGGGCATACCAGAGGGGCATACCAGAGGGGCATACCAGAGGGGCATACCAGAGGGGCATACCAGAGGGGCATACCAGAGGGGCTGCATGCAGGAGCAGGACTCACGGCATCGGACGTCCGGGAAGGTGCAGCAGTCGGTGAAGAGGGGAGAGGAGGGTAGCAGGGGGGTTGCAGGCAGGAGCAAGACTCACGGAATCGGACGTCCAGGAAGGTGCAGCAGTTGGTGAAGAGGGGAGAGGAGGGTAGCAGGGGGGTTGCAGGCAGGAGCAAGACTCACGGAATCGGACGTCCAGGAAGGTGCAGCAGTTGGTGAAGAGGGGAGAGGCGAGAGGAGATACTTTGTATGGTACTTCAACAAGAGGGTAGCAGGGGGATTGCATGGGGAGCAGGACTCACGGAATCGGACGTCCGGGAAGGTGCAGCAGTTGGTGAAGAGGGGAGAGGCGAGAGGAGATACTTTGTATGGTGCTTCAACAAGAGGGTAGCAGGGGGATTGCATGGGGAGCAGTACTCACGGAATCGGACGTCCGGGAAGGTGCAGCCACTGGCAAAGAGCGCGTTGGGGCCCAGCAGCTTGAATGCGTCCTGTGCCGTGCACTCCGCTGGGGGAGGGGAGGAAGGAGAGAGCGCGTGGGAGGGGGGAGAAAGAGGGAAGAGAGTACGGGGGGAGGGAAGGAGGGAGGGCAAATCTTAACGAAAGTCTTGATCCTTTTGCTTAAGTGATTCCTTCACGTTTGAACCTTGATTCTTCATGGCTTTCAGCACGCCGTCGTCAAACAGATGCCGCGACCTGCCCTGCTCCACCTTGCTTCACCGCACTTCACCGTGGTTGACCACGCTTCACCTTGTTTCATCATTTTAGACCTGCAACCCCTCAAACACCTCACCTTGTTTCACTGGCTGCGACAGAGCAAAGACAGCAGGCCGAGACACATCCGCGTTCTTCATGGCCTTGAGAACGCCGTCGTCAAACAGATGGGCCCAAACAGACGATCCGGTCAGCCCCACCCCACTCAACTTCCTTCCCTTGGCCAACCAGCAATCCCCTAGCGCCTCACCTTGTTTCACTGGTTAAGAGAGCGCAGAGATGGCCAGGCGAAAGACGTCAGCATTCTTCATAGCCTTGAGAACGTCGTCGTCAAACAGATGGCCCGACCCGGTCAGCCCCACCAGCACATGCGGCTTCACCCCCCGGCTTCACCACGTGCAGCTGGGCCCATGTGATTCGACTTTACCCAGCTGTGCCCACCTGCCCAGACAGCAACCCGTTCGGCACTCACCTTGCTTGACAGGTTGGGAGAGCGTGAAGACGGCCGGGCGCGACACATCGGCATTCTTCATGGCCTTGAGAACGTCGTCGTCAAACAGATGGCCCGACCCGGTCAGCCCCACCAGGACATGCGGCTTCACCCCCCGGCTTCACCATGTGAGCCAGACCTCGGGCCTTACCTTGCTTGACTGGTTGCGACAGGGCAAATACAGCAGGCCGAGACACGTCAGCATTCTTCATGGCCTTGAGCACGTCGTCGTCAAACAGATGGCCCGACCCCGTCAGCCCCACCCCAATCCATTCCCTCTATCCACCTCCCTTTACCTTTCTTAACCGCACTTCACCTTGTTTCACAGGTTGAGAAAGCGCAAACACAGCCGGGCGAGACACGTTGGCGTTCTTCATAGCCTCGAGGACGTCGGCGTCAAACAGATGGCCCGACCCCGTCAGCCCCACCCCAATCCATTCCCTCTATCCACCTCCCTTTACCTTTCCTAACCGCACTTCACCTTGTTTCACAGGTTGAGAAAGCGCAAACACAGCCGGGCAAGACACGTTGGCGTTCTTCATAGCCTCGAGGACGTCGGCGTCAAACAGATGGCCCGACCCCGTCAGCCCCACAAGCACATGCGGCTTCACCCCCCGGCTTCACCACGTGCGGTTGGGCCCATGTGATTCGACTTTACCCAGCTGTGCCCACCTGCCCAGACAGCAACCCGTTCGGCACTCACCTTGCTTGACAGGCTGGGAGAGCGCAAAGACGGCCGGGCGCGACACGTCAGCATTCTTCATGGCTTTTAGAACGTCGTCGTCAAACAGATGGCCCGACCCCGTCAGCCCCACAAGCACATGCGGCTTCACCCCCCGGCTTCACCACGTGCAGCTGGGCCCATGTAATTCGACTTTACCCAGCTGTGCCCACCTGCCCAGACAGCAACCCGTTCGGCACTCACCTTGCTTGACAGGTTGGGAGAGCGCGAAGACGGCCGGGCGCGACACATCAGCATTCTTCATGGCCTTGAGCACGTCGTCGTCAAACAGATGGCCCGATCCGGTCAGCCCCACCAGGACATGCGGCTTCACCCGCTTAACCACGTGCGCCAGACTCGTTCCCTCCTTGAGCCTCTCATCCTCGTTCGACCGCCTCAAGAAGTCTTCAAACTCCAGGGCACAGCTCACCCTCGCGTCTGTCATGAGACCCTGGAGGGAGGACAGGGTCAACACAGGGTCAACGGAGATCAATGAATGTCAAGGCAGGTTAGACTACCTCGTGCCCTCCTTGAGCCTCTCATCCTCATCTTCCCGCCTCAAGAAGTCTTCAAACTCCGAGGCACAGCTCACCCTCGCGTCTGTCATCAGGCCCTGGAAAAAACAGAGGGTCAACACAGGTCAATGCAAGTCAATGCAAGTCAGACCCTCTCATCCTCGTTCGACCGCCTCAAGAAGTCTTCAAACTCCAGGGCACAGCTCACCCTGGCGTCGGTCATGAGACCCTGGAGGGAAACACAGGGTCAATGCAAGTCAACGAAGGTCAGAAGGAGTCAGACCTGGTCAGCCCCAAGTCAACCCAAGTCAGCATATTTCAATCCAAGTCAACGCAGGTCAAATCCCAGTCAACGCCTCACCTGGTCATCCACGAGCCAGAAGTTTTCAGCTGCCCGATCCATGGCGGCTTTACCCTGCCCGATCTGCACTGCCATTGCCCTCCGCACTGCTGTCAGCACCCCCTCTGCTTCCCTGTGGTGGGAGCAAGAAAGAGGGGAGGGGGTTCGAGGTGAGGTTAGGAGGAAGGGAAACAAAAGAGAGCAGGGACCTTGAGGGGAGTGTTAGGTGCTGGATGAGTGCTGCTGCTGTCTGCATTCAAGTTTTTTTTTTTTCGACACACCATTAATCTCCCCCATATGGCAGCTTGGATTTTGGAGGCGCCTCAAAAGTTAATCTCCCCCATATGGCAGCTTGGATTTTGGAGGCGCCTCAAAAGTTAATCTCCCCCATATGGCAGCTTGGATTTTGGAGGCGCCTCAAAAGTTAATCTCCCCCATATGGCAGCTTGGATTTTGGAGGCGCCTCAAAAGTTAATCTCCCCCATATGGCAGCTTGGATTTTGGAGGCGCCTCAAAAGTTAATCTCCCCCATATGGCAGCTTGGATTTTGGAGGCGCCTCAAAAGTTAATCTCCCCCATATGGCAGCTTGGATTTTCGGCAGGTCTTTCAGTTCCTGTGTTGATTTTACTTGTTTAATCTCGAGCAAACTTTCTTCAAGAAAGTTTTGCGTAGCGAAATTTACAACCTTGCTTCCCTCCTACCCGCTCGCTTTGCCGCACCTGCCAGTGCCAGCAACCACCACTCTGGTGTCGGCGAGAGCTTTAGGCGGGAGGTGTTGTGCTCTCAGCACGTTCAGAATACCCTTTCCCCATCCCACCCTTCCCTTTACCAGTCCGTGCCTGTTAGCGCATCCTTCTCGTCCCTTCCCCCAACCACCCCGCACCTGCCAGTGCCAGCAACCACCACTCTGGTGTCCGCAAAAGCTTTAGGGGAGAGGTGCTGCACTCTCAGCATGTACCTGCCAGTCAGTTGCCCCTGCTCTTCCCCCTGCCCTTCCCCCCCCGCCTTCCCGTCCCTTCCCACCTCATACCTGCCAGTGCCGGCAACCACCACTCTGGTGTCGGCGAGAGCTTTAGGGGGGAGGTGCTGCGCTCTCAGCACGTTGAGAATGCCCGCCACTGCCACTCCGCCTGTGCCCTGTGGCGTGGGGGAAAGGGGTGGAAGGGGGGGTTAGGGAAAGAGGGACTTGGTTGGTTAGAGAGGAGGAGAGGAGGAAGGGGAGGTGCTGCGCCCGCAGCACGTTGAGAATGCCCGCCACTGCCACTCCGCCTGTGCCCTGATGCAGGGGAAGGAGGAAGGAAGGGGGGGGGGCGAAAATGGGTTGGGTACAAAGAAGGAGAAGGCGAGGTGCTGCGCCCGGGGCACGTTCAGAATGCCCGCCACTGCCACTCCGCCTCTGCCCTGATGTTGAAGGGTAGAGGGGAGTTGCTGTGGTGCGCCCGGGGCACGTTCAGAATGCCCGCCACTGCCACTCCGCCTCTGCCCTGTGAACTAGAAAAAGTTGGTTAACGGGAGGGCAAGGAGATTATGCACAGGGGAGGGGCGGAAAGCGGGAGGTGCTGTGCTCGCATAGGTTCAGACATTCCAGCGAGCAGCACTGGAATCTAGTTTTGAGGACCCTCAAAACTAGCAGCACTGGAATCTAGTTTTGAGGACCCCCAAAACTAGCAGCACTGGAATGTCTGAACGGATTGTTTGAGAATTCTCAAGAAATTCCCACAGCATTCCAGCGAGCAGCACTGGAATGTCTGAACATACGGGGCGGAAAGAGGGAGGTGCTGTGCTCGTAGGACATTGAGAATGCCTGCTACTGCCACTCCGCCTGTGCCCTGATGCAGGGAAAAAAGGGGGGAAGGGAGATTGGTACCATATTATCCAGGCAAATAATACCTCAGTACCATTGGTAAGGGTGGGTGGTTACGTTTAATACCCTCGCATACGTTTACATCCTCCCTCCCATCGCATCCTCCTTTCCATCGCATCCTCCTTCCCATCGCATCCTCCTTCCCATCGCATCCTCCTTCCCATCGCATCCTCCTTCCCAGCAGCACCGCACCTCGATGTCATCATTGAAGATGCGGTACTGTGACTTGTAGCGATCCATGAGGGCGTTGGCCCCTGCTGCCCACATGCACTCACATCCCCCTTTCAGTGCCCTCCCTCCCACCGCCTGTACCACTGGTAGGAGTGCGCACCTCGATATCATCATTGAAGATGCGGTACTGTGACTTGTAGCGATCCATGAGAGTGTTAGCCCACACACCCACATGCACATGCATCCATCCCCTCTGTCCCTCCTACCCTCTCATCTCACCTCGATATCATAATTACAGATGCGGTACTGTGACTTGTAGCGATCCATGAGGGTGTTGGCGCACACCCACCCATTCCTTGGTATCATCAGACACAACCACACCCCACACACAATCACCCATCTCATCTCACCTCGATATCACCATTGAAGATGCGGTACTGTGACTTGTAGCGATCCATGAGGGTGTTGGCCCTCCCAACCACCTTCCCATAACCACATACATCCCCATCAACCCACCCGCCATACATTACGTCTATACCTTCACTCCCAATCTCACCTCGATATCATCGTTGAAGATTCGATACTGGGATTTGTAGCGATCCATGAGGGTGTTGGCCCACCGCATTTCAAAGTCCTCAAACTGCAAGGCAGTGGTTGTGTACATACACACACACAAAAACGCACACACAGACAGACGCGTGAACAAACACATAAAGAGACACACAACCACACACACAAGAACACGGGAACACACCACCACACACAAGAGCACAGCGGAACACATCTTTTGAGGCGCCCCACAGGGGGCGAGTCATTGAATAAAGTGGAGTGATAGACGGAGAAACAACCTGCACCAGATGCAGCCCACATGCTTTGAATATCACCTGCACGATCACGTTGGGCCAGCGAGAGAAGACGGCTTCCATGAACTCGTCCATGAGAGAGAGGTAGTGCTCCCAGGCCAGGTGATACCTGCACGCACCAGAAGATGCTACCTGAACGAGTGCTACCTACCTGCACGATCACGTTGGGCCAGCGAGAGAAGACTGCTTCCATAAACTCGTCCATGAGAGAGAGGTAGTGCTCCCCATCCAGTCGAGGGTGGCGCAAGCCCAGGTCTGAATGGGTAAGAATGGGTGAGAATGGGTGAGAATGGGCAGGAATTGGTTGAGATGTGCTTGGATGGGTGGAGGGTTCAACGAATACAGCTTCCATGAATTCGTCCATGAGAGAGAGGTAGTGCTCCCCGTCCAGGCGAGGGTGGCGCAACCCCAGGTCTGCATGGGTTGAAATGGGTTGGCGTAGGTGGAAACGGGTAAGAATTGGTCGAAATGTGTTCGGATGGGTGGGGGGTTAAAAAAAACGCACGCAAGCGAACGTATGATGTAATTGTGTAATGGGGAATTGGGATGTGTTCTTAAGGCTAACGCGAGTCTGCTTACAGAGGGGATTCTTTATGAGAGCCTCGTTGTTGGTGCCGACATCAAACATCACTGGAAGCACCTGCAAGAACGGAAAGAAAATGACCCAAAAAAGGAAGGAAATATACTTCAACACGTTACCCCATTACACGTTAGTTATTTACACGCCAAACGTGTAAATAACTAACTGGGAAGATGGGTACCCAGTGGACCAATGGATTCACCACCCTGTTTGGCGTTATGTCTGCCTGCACTGCAGCTGAGGTCACTTTCGAGTCGACTCAAAAGTGACCAGCATCCATTTGAGAATTTCAAAAGGGGCATCCCTGCCACAGCCGCAGGTGTAACCCCTGGCATTACGCCCGCAGCCACATAGACAACCCCTGGCGTTACGCCCGCAGCCGCAGAGACAGTTTTGATTTGGGGCTTGAAGAGTAAGAAAAGCTGGAGCTGCTATACCGCCCTGTTCAGTGGCAGCACTCACAACATTCATTGACGCTAATATTAGCCGCACCACCACTCACCCTGTTGGGAGGAATGAGAGCAGCAGCGACGTACATGTGGAGCTTGCCCACCGGGATGGCCATGGCCTGCACTCCCAGGTCACTCGCTCTATAGTGGGAGGGGAGGAGCATGTGTGCCGCATGCTGTAGCAACACTCACTCTGTTGGGTGGAATGCCCGCAGCAGCGACGTACATGTCGAGCTTGCCCACCGGGATAGCTATGGCCTGCACTCCCAGGTCGATCTTCCTGAACCAGTCCGTCACACCACTCTCACCAGGTGCACCACTCACCAGGCCTTCTGTACCCCCTAGCTCACCGGGCCTAGACAGCGCAAGAGGGGCGGCAGTACCAGCACTCACCCTCTTTTCACACTCACCCGGTTGGGGGGGATGCCGGCTGCAGCGACATACATGTCGAGCTTGCCCACCGGAATGGCTATGGCCTGCACTCCCAGGTCTCCCAACCCCAGCACCTTGCTGCCATCCGTCATCACTATCACATCCACCTGGATGGGTGGAGAGGGTAGGGAGAGGGGAAAGGGGGAATGGAGAGAAGGGGGGGAGGAGGGAGAGGAGAGAGAGCAGTGAGCCGCACCACCACTCCCAGGTCTCCCAGCCCAGCACCTTGCTGCCGTCCGTCATGACTATCACATCCACCTGAAGAATGGGAAAGAGGACGGGGGAGAGAAGAGAGTAGAGTGAGAGAAGAGAGAGCAGTAGGCAGACCATCAGTCACGGGTCGGCCAGCCTCCCAGCACGGGATGGGAATGGCCTGCACTCCCAGGTCTCCCAGGCCCAGCACCTTGCTGCCGTCTGTCATGACTATTACATCCACCTGGATGGGTGGAGAAGGGAGGGAGGAAGGAATGGAAGAGAAAACATCGCACAAACCAAAAAAGAAAAGAAAAAAGAAAAAACTGCTACTACTATCCTGTCTTCCCACACATACAGTCCCAGCACATAACTCCAGCACGCACTCACAGCATGGAACCAGCACACCTTATCTCTCGCCACCCCACCTTGCCAGCCGGCCAGTTGCGCACCATGCTCGCCATCTCGCCCCTGTCAGCCGCACTGAAGTACATGCCTCGGGGGCGCCTGAACAGACTAGTGTGATTCTAACACCCTTCGTCTCCATTCACACACATACAGTCACACACATATAGTCACCACATACAGTCACCACATTTAGTCACAACAGACAGCGGCAGCACCCACCTTGTCTGCCGGCCAGTTGTGCACCATACTCGCCATCTCGCCGCGGTCAGCCGCACTGAAGTACATGCCTCGGGGCCGCCGGAACAGACTGCTGTACTTTTGACACACGGTGCCGACTGTTGGGACGTAGAGGATGCGACTCATCTCCTGAATGTGGTCTATCAGGACCTGATGGGGGGGGGGAGAGGAGGGTAGTAGGTTGGGGAGGTGGCCAAGCAAGGGAGCAAGGGAGCAGGGGAGGAGGGGACGGGGGAAGAGCAGTGAACAGACTGCTGTACTTTTGACACACGGTGCCCACTGTTGGGACGTACAGGATGCGACTCATCTCCTGAATGTGGTCTATCAGAACCTGATGTGTGTTTGGTGGGGGGAGGCAGAGGAGGGACCGAGCAGGGGAGCAGGGAGGCAGGAGGAGAAGAGAGCAGTGAACAGACTGCTGTACTTTTGACACACGGTGCCCACTGTTGGCATGTACAGGATGCGACTCATCTCCTGAATGTGGTCTATCCAGACCTGATGGGGGGAACGTAGATGGGGAGCAGGAGATAGGGGAGGAGGGAGAGGGGGGAAGTGGAGGAAGGGGGAGAGAACAGAGAGGAATAAGCTGCTGCTGCATTTCTGGCACACGGTGCCGGCCGTGGAGACGTGGAAAGTGCGACTCATTTCCTGAATGTAGTCGATCAGGACCTGATGGGAGGCGAGGGGAGGCGAGGGGAGGAGGGGAGGAGGAGACGAACAGAGCAATGAGCTGCTGCTGATGGGAGGCGAGGGGAGGCGAGGGGAGGCGAGGGGAGGCGTCTGTTGCGGTCGTGCGGGCGGTTGGGGCTGCGCCACTTCTGCAGGTCAACCGGGTCCTCACCCTGCCTGTCCCAGTCACTCCTCAGCCCGTTACAGTCACACGCGCACTCGTCACACCTTGTAGTAGAGAGTTCATTACAGTCACGTCATACCCGGTAGTAGAGCGTCTCGTTGCGGTCGTGCAGGCGGTTGAGAATGCGCCACTTCTGCAGGTCAACCAGGTCAACCGGGTCAACTGGGTCACCACACACCCACCACTACGCGTCCGTATCTCCTCTCTCTCACCCGATAGTACAGTGTCTCGTTGCGGTCGTGCAGGCGGTTGAGAATGCGCCACTTCTGCAGGTCAACCAGGTCAACCGGGTCAACCGGATCGTCCAGCATGAGGGGCTTCCGGGTCAACCCGTAAACCGGGTCAACCCGTAAACCGGGTCAACCCGTAAACCGGGTCAACCCGTAAACCGGGTCAACCCGTAAACCGGGTCAACCCGTAAACCGGGTCAACCCGTAAACCGGGTCAACCCGTAAACCGGGTCAACCCGTAAACCGGGTCAACCCGTAAACCGGGTCAACCCGTAAACCGGGTCAACCCGTAAACCGGGTCAACCCGTAAACCGGGTCAACCCGTAAACCGGGTCAACCCGTAAACCGGGTCAACCCGTAAACCGGGTCAACCCGTAAACCGGGTCAACCCGTAAACCGGGTCAACCCGTAAACCGGGTCAACCCGTAAACCGGGTCAACCCGTAAACCGGGTCAACCCGTAAACCGGGTCAACCCGTAAACCGGGTCAACCCGTAAACCGGGTCAACCCGTAAACCGGGTCAACCCGTAAACCGGGTCAACCCGTAAACCGGGTCAACCCGTAAACCGGGTCAACCCGTAAACCGGGTCAACCCGTAAACCGGGTCAACCCGTAAACCGGGTCAACCCGTAAACCGGGTCAACCCGTAAACCGGGTCAACCCGTAAACCGGGTCAACCCGTAAACCGGGTCAACCCGTAAACCGGGTCAACCCGTAAACCGGGTCAACCCGTAAACCGGGTCAACCCGTAAACCGGGTCAACCGTAAACCGGGTCAACCCGTAAACCGGGTCAACCCGTAAACCGGGTCAACCCGTAAACCGGGTCAACCCGTAAACCGGGTCAACCCGTAAACCGGGTCAACCCGTAAACCGGGTCAAACCCGTAAACCGGGTCAACCCGTAAACCGGGTCAACCCGTAAACCGGGTCAACCCGTAAACCGGGTCAACCCGTAAACCGGGTCAACCCGTAAACCGGGTCAACCCGTAAACCGGGTCAACCCGTAAACCGGGTCAACCCGTAAACCGGGTCAACCCGTAAACCGGGTCAACCCGTAAACCGGGTCAACCCGTAAACCGGGTCAACCCGTAAACCGGGTCAACCCGTAAACCGGGTCAACCCGTAAACCGGGTCAACCCGTAAACCGGGTCAACCCGTAAACCGGGTCAACCCGTAAACCGGGTCAACCCGTAAACCGGGTCAACCCGTAAACCGGGTCAACCCGTAAACCGGGTCAACCCGTAAACCGGGTCAACCCGTAAACCGGGTCAACCCGTAAACCGGGTCAACCGTAACCGGGTCAACCCGTAAACCGGTCAACCCGTAAACCGGGTCAACCCGTAAACCGGGTCAACCCGTAAACCGGGTCAACCCGTAAACCGGGTCAACCCGTAAACCGGGTCAACCCGTAAACCGGGTCAACCCGTAAACCGGGTCAACCCGTAAACCGGGTCAACCCGTAAACCGGGTCAACCCGTAAACCGGGTCAACCCGTAAACCGGGTCAACCCGTAACCGGGTCAACCCGTAAACCGGGTCAACCCGTAAACCGGGTCAACCCGTAAACCGGGTCAACCCGTAAACCGGGTCAACCCGTAAACCGGGTCAACCCGTAAACCGGGTCAACCCGTAAACCGGGTCAACCCGTAAACCGGGTCAACCCGTAAACCGGGTCCACCCGTAACCGGGTCAACCCGTAAACCGGGTCAACCCGTAAACCGGGTCAACCCGTAAACCGGGTCAACCCGTAAACCGGGTCAACCCGTAAACCGGGTCAAACCCGTAAACCGGGTCAACCCGTAAACCGGGTCAACCCGTAAACCGGGTCAACCGTAAACCGGGTCAACCCGTAAACCGGGTCACCCGTAAACCGGGTCAACCGTAAACCGGGTCAACCCGTAAACCGGGTCAACCCGTAAACCGGGTCAACCCGTAAACCGGTCAACCCGTAAACCGGGTCAACCCGATAAACCGGGTCAACCCCGTGTAAACCGGGGTCAACCCGTAACCGGTCAACCCGTAAACCGGGTCAAACCCGTAAACCGGGTCAACCCGTAAACCGGGTCAACCCGTAACCGGGTCAACCCGTAAACCGGGTCAACCCGTAAACCGGGTCAACCCGTAAACCGGGTCAACCCGTAAACCGGGTCAACCCGTAAACCGGGTCAACCGTAAACCGGGTCAACCCGTAAACCGGGTCAACCCGTAAACCGGGTCAACCCGTAAACCGGGTCAACCGTTAAACAGGGTCAACCCGTAAACCGGGTCACACCCGTAAACCGGGGTCAACCCGTAAACCGGGTCAACCCGTAAAAACGGGTCAACCCGTAAACGGGTCAACCCGTAAACCGGGTCAACCCGTAAACCGGGTCAACCCGTAAACCGGGTCAACCCGTAAACCGGGTCAACCCGTAAACCGGGTCAACCCGTAAACCGGGTCAACCCGTAAACCGGGTCAACCCGTAAACCGGGTCAACCCGTAAACCGGGTCAACCCGTAAACCGGGTCAACCCGTAAACCGGGTCAACCCGTAAACCGGGTCAACCCGTAAACCGGGTCAACCCGTAAACCGGGTCAACCCGTAAACCGGGTCAACCCGTAAACCGGGTCAACCCGTAAACCGGGTCAACCCGTAAACCGGGTCAACCCGTAAACCGGGTCAACCCGTAAACCGGGTCAACCCGTAAACCGGGTCAGTCAGTCAGTCAGTCAGTCAGTCAGTCAGTCGGTCAGTCGGTCAGTCGGTCAGTCGGTCAGTCAGTCAGTCGGTCAGTCGGTCAGTCGGTCAGTCAGTCAGTCAGTCAGTCGGTCAGTCGGTCAGTCGGTCAGTCGGTCAGTCGGTCAGTCGGTCAGTCGGTCAGTCAGTCAGTCGGTCAGTCAGTCAGTCGGTCAGTCAGTCGTCGGTCAGTCTAGTCAGTCGGTCAGTCAGTCAGTCGGTCCAAGCTCGGTCAGTCATGGTCAGGTCCCAGTCAGTCGGTCAGTCAGTCAGTCGGTCAGTCAGTTCAGTCGTGTCAGTCAGTCAGTCGGTCACGTCAGTCAGTCGGTCAGTCAAGTCAGTCGGTCAGTCAGTCAGTCGGTAGTCAGCAGGTCGAGGTCAGTCAGTCAGTCGGTCAGTCAGTCAGTCGGTCAGTCAGTCAGTCGGTCAGTCAGGTCAGTCGGTCAGTCAGTCAGTCGGTCAGTCAGTCAGTCGGTCAGTCAGTCAGTCGGTCAGTCAGTCAGTCGGTCAGTCAGTCAGTCGGTCAGTCAGTCAGTCGGTCAGTCAGTCAGTCGGTCAGTCAGTCAGTCGGTCAGTCAGTCAGTCGGTCAGTCAGTCCGTGCGGTCAGTCAGTCAGTCGGTCAGTCAGAGTCGGTCAGTCAGTCAGTCGGTCAGTCAGTCTAAGCGTTCAGTCAGTCAGTCGGTCAGTCAGTCAGGTCGGTCAGTCAGTCAGTCGGTCAGTCAGTCAGTCGGTCAGTCAGTCAGTCGGTCAGTCAGCAGTCGGTCAGTCAGTCAGTCGTAGTCAGTCAGGTCAGTCAGTCAGTCGGTCAGTCAGTCAGTCGGTCAGTCAGTCAGTCGGTCAGGTCAGTCAGTCGGTCAGTCAGTCAGTCGGTCAGTCAGTCAGTCGGTCAGTCAGTCAGTCAGGTCAGTCAGTCAGTCGGTCAGTCAGTCAGTCGGTCAGTCAGTCAGTCGGTCAGTCAGTCAGTCGGTCAGTCAGTCAGTCGGTCCGTCAGTCAGTCGGTCAGTCAGTCGATCGGTCAGGTCAGTCAGTCGGTCAGTCAGTCAGTCGTCAGTCAGTCAGTCGGTCAGTCAGTCAGTCGGTCAGTCAGTCAGTCGGTCAGTCAGTCAGTGGTCAGTCAGTCAGTCGGTCAGTCAGTCAGTCGGTCAGTCAGTCAGTCGGTCAGTCAAGCAGTCGGTCAGTCAGTCAGCTCGGTCAGTCAGTCAGTCGGTCAGTCAGTCAGTCGGTCAGTCAGTCAGTCGGTTCAGTCAGTCAGTCGGTCAGGTCAGTCAGTCGGCAGTCAGTCAGTCGGTCAGTCAGTCAGTCGGTCAGTCAGTCAGTCGGTCAGTCAGTCAGTCGGTCAGTCAGTCAGTCGGTCAGGTCAGTCTCAGTCGGTCAGTCAGTCAGTCAGTCAGTCGGTCAGTCAGTCAGTCGGTCAGTCAGTCAGTCGGTCAGTCAGTCAGTCGGTCAGTCAGTCAGTCGGTCAGTCAGTCAGTCGGTCAGTCAGTCAGTCGGTCAGTCAGTCAGTCGGTCAGTCAGTCAGTCGGTCGGTCAGTCAGTCGGTCAGTCAGTCAGTCGGTCAGTCAGTCAGTCGGTCAGTCAGTCAGTCGGTCAGTCAGTCAGTCGGTCAGTCAGTCAGTCGGTCAGTCAGTCAGTCGGTCAGTCAGTCAGTCGGTCAGTCAGTCAGTCGGTCAGTCAGTCAGTCGGTCAGTCAGTCAGTCGGTCAGTCAGTCAGTCGGTCAGTCAGTCGGTCAGTCAGTCAGTCAGTCGGTCAGTCAGTCAGTCGGTCAGTCAGTCGGTCGGTCAGTCAGTCAGTCGGTCAGTCAGTCAGTCGGTCAGTCAGTCAGTCGGTCAGTCAGTCAGTCGGTCAGTCAGTCAGTCGGTCAGTCAGTCAGTCGGTCAGTCAGTCAGTCGGTCAGTCAGTCAGTCGGTCAGTCAGTCAGTCGGTCAGTCAGTCAGTCGGTCAGGTCAGTCAGTCGGTCAGTCAGTCAGTCGGTCAGTCAGTCAGTCGGTCAGTCAGTCAGTCGGTCAGTCAGTCAGTCGGTCAGTCAGTCAGTCGGTCAGTCAGTCAGTCGGTCAGTCAGTCAGTCGGTCAGTCAGTCAGTCGGTCAGTCAGTCAGTCGGTCAGTCAGTCAGTCGGTCAGTCAGTCATGTCGGTCAGTCAGTCAGTCGGTCAGTCAGTCAGTCGGTCAGTCAGTCAGTCGGTCAGTCAGTCAGTCGGTCAGTCAGTCAGTCGGTCAGTCAGTCAGTCGGTCAGTCAGTCAGTCGGTCAGTCAGTCAGTCGGTCAGTCAGTCAGTCGGTCAGTCAGGTCAGTCGGTCAGTCAGTCAGTCGGTCAGTCAGTCAGTCGGTCAGTCAGTCAGTCGGTCAGTCAGTCAGTCGGTCAGTCA